ATGGTGGAGTTTGGCTAGTGAATATATGTATATACATAAGCGCATGCATAATCACAAACACATATACACGTTTATGATGGATTGCTGCAATTTCTTGATATTTACTTTCTATAGGCATGTGCTTGAGATAACTCTTATCTCCTCTGAAATGATATTTACTTTCTATAGGCATGGAAATAATACATAATAATATACAAAACATCTGAAAACAGCTCAGTCCCAAAGCTTGAGATAACTCTTATCTCCTCTGAATGGTGCTGCTAAAACATGAACCAACAGCCATTTTACTTCCCTGTTGGCACTGGATCTTCTGAGACAGGGAGGAAAATTTGGCTCCAAATCGAGGAGCACTTTCTGCCTGCAGAACTCAGGTGCAGTCAGGGCACGTGGCATGCATGGAAGTGTTTCACAGAAGCTGCTAATAATAAACTCCCTTATACTGATAGGAATCTTACTGAATTAATTGGCAGCACTCGCAGATGGTTTAGTCATTGAGAACATACTGAAAAATCCACTGGCTTTCCCCTGCTGCCTTGTGATGAGATTGGTGGAGGTTTTTGACATTGTTTTCCTAAAAAAATAAATAAATTAGAGATTACGTAATGAGGATTGGCAGCCTATAAAAATTTCCTTCCTCAACATAGGCAGGAAACAGGTTGGATTTCTTAGGAGATTTCTCAGTAGGGAGTTTGTAGTAGCACAGAAACAAGATCTAGGCATAAACGACTTTGCTGGGAAATAGCTGCTAGCCTTGCACTTGAAGCATCACCTCATGTAAAGGTGTTTCTACCATTTTTTTCTGTTGGTATTCCCAGTCAGGCAGCAAACACGTGGACCTGCTTGGATGATGAGAAAGATGAAGCATTTCTGGGGACTCATCAGGGGAAGCAGCAGCAAGAGGGAGAAAACGGCTGGTGAAAACACAAGGATGCTTCCCAAGACCACTCGGGAAGAGAGAAACAAGCAGGAACCAAAGAAGAAAGGGAAACTGAAAAACGTGGCAGGCAAATTGCTAAAGATAGGTGGGGGGAAAGAAGCAGCTGAAAAGACTCTTGAAAATGAGAATCTGGCAGGGAATTTTCCGAAGATTGCAACAGGCAGGAAGGAAGTAGGAGGAAAGAGATCTGCAGGTAAATATGCTATGGAAAGGGATATCTTTCCGTTACGCTCTATAACCACTCCTGGTCCTTCTCTGCCTCTTCCAGACCTGAAGACTCTGGTTTTCATATGCTTCAGCAATAGTGTTTTAAGCTTTCCCCTTCGCAATCTTTCACTTGCTTACATGTCCTTTCTGAACTGTGTGCTTATTTCCCAGAAACATCTGAATTTTGCTTTCCTTTTGCCTCAGAAGAATTTCCCTGTGTTGTTCTTATTGTTACCATTGCAAAGGCTCAAAATGCATCTTATAAAAAAAAAAAGAGACTGGTGCACGTGTGACCTGCACCGTGTAGGATGCAACTGTGCTTCTTCTATGCACGTAGAGGGGAGGTGGGTTGCGTGTAGGTTAAAAGTACCAACATCTCCTATATGTGGCATGTGTTGACCTTACGCATTGCTTTGCTGAAGATCCTTGCATCTGTCCCTCTCCTTTTTGTGTCATGTTCCTCTCTCTGGTCTTGTTTGATTTAGGTCAAACTACACAGCCATTTTCACGCAGGAAAATTAGGATGCATGTGGTATTTATGAAAGATAATAAACATTCCTTCCTGACTCTACATCACACCCCAAAGCTGTACATTAAATTGATTCCAGAGTCTCCTTTCTTATGTCCTCCCTTAACGTTCTCTGGATTCTCATCAAGTTTCATTTCTCTTCTGGGCTCTGCTCCAGATACTTTAGTGCAAACCATGTTCACCCTTTGTTAGTCAGTTTCCTCATCTCTAAAACAAACAGGAAAAAAACACAAAGCTTTGTACAGCTATTGTAATAAAATATTTAACTGGTGTGCTGAGTGAGGCGGATAAGAAACTTTGGAAGCAGCAGTAAAAATCTTCTCCTTTCAATTTATCCACTCTGAAGATTTCATAACGGTCTCCGCAGGGTGTGTGGTGACTAGGCCAGTGCCTCAGTCAGAAACCACCCCCAGCTTCTCGCAGAAATGAGGGTCGTGGGGAGAAGCGTTAGTTCACCCCGCTGACCCGGGGTGGGTAGCCCACCTTTAGATGAAATGGCAGGCATGGGCAGCCCTGAAACAGGGTGCAAGCCCCTGCCAGGCAACGTGCTCCCTGTTGCGAGGCAATGGGTCTGGCTGCAGGAATGGGAGCATACAAGGGAGTTCGCAATGATTTTTCTCCTAGTGTTTTTTTTTTTTTTTTTTGTAGGAAAGATGGAGAATGGAGATGGAGTCAAACTTACCAGGCTTGACTTTCAGCTGGTTTCTCTTTCACAAAAAGTCCACTCTGTTATTCTTTTTTTCTCGACAAATGGTACTTTTCTTGATGAAAGATGGTCATTAATAATCCTGTATTGCCCACCAGAGCAGGCCTGCTGGGATGATCACAGAACACTGCAGAAGTTTGGTCTTCAGGCTTAGTCTCAAAGAGATAGGAAGCAAGCAGAAAGGAGAAAGAAAGTATCTGACCTAAGAAAAGTGAGAAGTGGTAGTGGTTGGCTTCAGTGAGTGAGGTGGTCTTGAAAAGAATCCGGAGGGGCTTTGGGGTACAGGTAAACTACACCCATCACTACTCGGATATTAAAGTGATGGGCCCTGTGGAGGAGTGGACAAACGTCAACCTGTGTTGTTACTCTCTCTATTGCAGAGGAAACCATCCATGGATTCATTGAGCAAGGGAAGTTTTTTGAAGCTTGTAAACATATTTATGACCTGGAATGTTCTGGAAGTGATGGTGTGGGAAAGTGTGAAACACTTCATACGCTGCTGGCTGAGCAGATGTGGTCCGCTGTGGAAAAAGCGTTCAGCAGCTGTGACAGGATGTGCCTGGAGCCCTTGCAGTCAGTGGGCGAATCGCTGAAGTGGGAGAAGGAGAAGAAGAAGGAATCGCTTGGCAGCGGCCAAGGGATGCAGTCTGTTTCCACCTGGAGTCCACGGTTCTGGAAGAAAGACTTGGAGGAAAAGCTAATTCGGTACATGACAGCCCAGATTCCTCCCTTCAGTTCCACTAGTAACACAGATGACACTGCATTAAAACAGCACCTAGGACAACTGGAAATGACTTTTCTGCCCAGCCTAGAGCGCAAAAGTGGTTTCTTCAAGGAAGCAGGTCTGCTGGCCATGTATACCCACTGCTCTCGCGCCTGCCTGTCTTCTCACCTGTCCACCCTCACTGACATGAACCATGCTAGCCTTTTAGTTTATGAATGGTGCCTTAAAATGTACCGAAGGTATGTTCCAAGGATTCTTTCTCTCTACACTTACTATTGTCCCTTCTCCCCAGTTCTGAGCACAATCTCTGTATCCTGTTAATGCAGCAGAGGGTAAATCAAACAACTATCACTAGGTTTAGACTTCCCCATTGCCTATTTTATCCTCCAGAAGAACCTGGAGCTTTTTTCTTTGCATTATTGCCTTTTCTAAATCCTTTTATGGAGTTCAGGAGCTTAACAGAGGAATGCAGATGGTCCCTGCTGGAGTCCTCTTGGACACGCACAGACCCCTGCTTCCCTGAACAAGCTGGCAGGAGTTCATAATGTTTTGCCTTTTTTAGCAAGCACTTTAGAATAATTTTCTCTTGCCTTTTTGTGAGCATTAAGCTACCTTGACCTCTCTTTTCTCCTGGGCTTTCCTTCCATCTTATTTGACTTGTAGTTCCACCAAAAGTTTCCGTATTTCCTGCATTAGTGTTCGGACCATAGGAAAAAGACACAGCCGATCACTAAATTCCTACCTAAGCTTGAAAGAACAGATGTGATTTACCCCATGCTCGGAAGAACAGTACATCTGGGACCTATTGGCCCCATATGAACTCAGAGCCTTTCACTGGGAATGCCCGTGGCTGTTATCAAAGCCCAAACCTGCCTGACTGTCTTGTGCTCTTTTTCTTGTGTGGCAATATGAGCTGAGAGGTTTGATTCCCTGTACCTATGGTTACTTTGCTACTTAACAACTCTAATCCTTTTCTGTCCTAAGTTTTCATTAGTTTTGAGTTTTTCGAGTGCTTCCATCGTTGCCTAGAGCTTCTCTTCCTTGGATTAATTACAGCCATAAACACTTGCTCAGCTCATGAACAGTGCAGCAGAGGAACTCTTCTCCCTCATCCCCATGAAGGCAGGGTGATGAGTACTCTTTAGTGCATGTTCTTCTCAAACATACAGAAAAAATGTGGACAGTACTATTCTGACAATATTTCTATAGGTTTGAAACACGTATGAGTAATATGATATATGATGAAATAGCAAAAACTTATATGAAAGTGGAGGTGAATAATTGCTTAATTTAAATATACAAAGAAAAACGCAGGGATGGGAAAAAATACAAATGTTATGCCAATGCTAAATTCATTTACACACACACACAAAAAAAAGAGAAGAGCAGATCAGTGGTTGTGGTTAGATGGAAAAGACCATGAAGAAAGTGGAAATAAGAAGAGAGAGACCAGACTGACTTTATGAAAAAAAGTCTAATTATTTGGATTTTTCTCTCTGAATACAATTACAATTTCAGGAAAAGCTCATGTGCAGATGCAGTTTTCCCAGTATATAGGTGCTTTTTATTACAGTGTGCTTTCCGTACAGACATAATAGCTGAGTAAAAGCGAAGTAAGTATTCTAAAAGTGCATGCAGGGAGGTGGGCTTGGAAAACTGTACCCATGCCTAAGAAGGAATTTGGTGGCAGGAATGAGGGAAGGGGGATTGGAGAGGAGAAGGTGTAATTAGGGCAGCAAATACAGGAAGAAGGAAAACAGCAGAAAAGAGTGAGTGGCAAAAGGACTGGATAAAGATCCTCAATGCTCCTGGGGCTACTCCAGCACTGCCGTGAACCACCCCCGGGCTGAGCTCTTTTTTTCTCTGTGTGCAGTGGCAACTGGACATCGCTGGGACCCAGCCAGACCCCTGATGCACAGGGCCTCGTGTGGATTGCTCTGAAGACAGAGGAAAAGTTACTTGCAGTCACTCAGGTGAGAACTCATGACTTTTACCTCAGTTTACTACTTTAGCAAAGGGATGCTGGGACATTTGCATGGTGTCACTTCACCCTGTTACTGCATCTTCATAGAGATGAAATCTCTTCAGAAACTGAGTATCTGCAGGAAAGGGAAGCTATAGGTGGCATTCACCCCCCGAGGTGGAGTCATTTCCAGATGTTGTTCATCATCTCCTACTGTTAATGAACCTACAATGTGGACTAACTTTTATAGCACCTTTGCATCAGCTCTGCAGGATATTTGGGCTGCTGGATTGCCTATCGGTGGATCTGCTCACTGCTCATCAGACCTAAGTGAGAGTCTCACAAAGATTATTCCCAGAGCCCTGGACAAGCAAGCAGGTAGCCCATGCACCCTGGCATAGCTCTCCTGCAAGGCTGGAGCAGGACTCTGCTTTGCAGTCCCACAGAGGACCTCAGTTCCCAGGCTGCAGAGTCCCCTTCTTTTCCCAGCCACGCTCCTCCTTTGAAGGATGCTGCCGAGGTGCATGGAATATAAACGAAGCTGGGGAGATGCCTTGCAGCAACGGGGAGGACCAAAGGAAACCACGCTGTTTGGAAAACACAGCAGGGCCTCCTAGATTCAGCTGAAGCCAAACGTCAGTGGCAGAAATTGCCACATTCATCTTCTCAGTTTCCATTTCAGCCGGCCTCTGGCAGCAGAGGAGGGGAAATTCCCTGACAAACTGCTGATTCACCCTGGGAAGATGCTCTGGAGGCCCTGCTCCCTGCAGGAGAGCTCCTAGGTATTCACAAACATGGGTGTACAGGCACCTGCTGGTGACAAGGTGCTTAAAACTTACTAATTTCAGAGTTCGGCATTGAGCATCTTTATGAGCTGTTTCAAATCAATATCTTGAAGACGACGTGTTCCTAAGGTCTGTTTTTAGCACGTATTTCAGGGAAGGAAATGACTATAGGACTTTTCTTATGTGGCGTCTTAGAAGTTTTCTTAGAGCATGCCACTGAGTCAGTGACAAACCCTCAAAGCCAACTAACAGCGAAAGAGAATTTAACCATTTTTTTGCCCTCTGAGATATGGACTAGAGGAAAGTTTTGCTCATGGGCATGTGGCATGGAGCAGGCTCGCCCACATCTCTCAGGGGTTAGTAGCACTTGTGCAGCATTCCAGCTGGGTTTGTGCCTGGTAGGACTGGCCCCAGGTTCAGTCCAGCAAGATTCAATGGACATGAGCATGGAAAAAATTATAAATGTGTCTTCACTCAGCTCACCAGCCTAGCTTGTAAAACCTCTTTCATCCCTTTATTTCTTTTTCTCCAGCATACTCCAGCCCTTCATTATTCTGTATATATAGGGCGATAGCATGTTTATTGAAGGAATATTCCATGAGTTATCTCTGACTGATCACAATATATAATTGCGACTGCAAGTCACAAGGTGCTCATTTTGCCACTTGGATGACTACATTTTTCTAACTGAAAAGAGACTGAACAGAGAATAGGCAATATTCTGTTTTGTCTATGAATACCTGGCTTTATTACAGGGAGTGCCAGCCAGCTTTCTGTGCAAACTAAAAGCATTTGCCTGTACTTTCAACAGAAGAGAGTGAGGAGAGCTGTGACCACATCAAAGGATGCTGAGAGCTCAAACGCCACATGGGGTTCAGTCTGAGTTCCCAGCACTGCTGTGGGGAACTTAGCCAGCTCTGCAGCCAGGCTGCTTTACCTCAGCTTTGAAATGACCAGGCAAAAGGGCTTTTGTGCCTTTTGAAGCCTGGGGGATTGCAAAGCTGGTGAACAAAAATGAGGTGCAGTTTGTTGGGTCCTTGATGAGTCACCTTGTCCTTGCAGTGGTGAGGAATTAATGATGTGACATGACTACAATGCAAAACTTCAGAATGTTGCTAGATCTTGGTGAGATGGGGAGGGACAAGGAGGGAGATGGAGGTTACCTATGGGTTTGCTTCTTACAGCAGAAGCTCTGGTCATCTCCAGAGTGGAGCTCTAGAGCCCAATGCCACCACAAGGGCAGGGGCTCATGCTCGTTCAGGCACATCATCTGACCAAAGCAACTGAGTACTCTGGCTCAACGAGTTACTGCCCTGCAGTTAGTAACTAAGCACAAGCTCTGTCCCATTGTGGAGCAGGGCCCTCATGTTGATTTAAGCCCACACATTTCACCTCGCAATGGGGACAGGCTGAGAGTGTTTGTGCAGCCCAGCTCATACAGGCTAGCTCAGCACATCGTGTTAATACAACTGTGTAGTCAGGTGACAGCACTCTGGAAGAAAGGATTTGTTTTTCCTGGATTATTTACCCCTGCTGATTTGTGTCTGATTAACCCTTTGCAATGAGTATGGCAGAGGAGCCATTGTGAATATACCTTTGATGAGATTCTTAAGTGAGAGCCTTAAATCTGCTAAGATGAAAATGGAAGAAGTGACCTTACATACTTTCCATTTCTATGGAGAAATAAAGGAATAAATAACTGAGCCGGGCGCTTGAGTTTAAAGCCTCTATAAAGATCAGATAATGTTTTAAGCAACAAGCCCTTTGTCTGCAGTGTTAGTTCTGTTTTTACAGTGCATTCAGAAAAACCCAAGCCAGCCCCGTCTTGGGAAACTTCCCCATCGTGCAGCCTCGTGGGGCTCATCTCACTGCCACCGTAGCTCTGAACACTAATCCAACTCCTGTTTGCTCTCACAAGCCCCCATCTCGAGTTAGGGAGAACTTTTAATTAACACCGTCTGGTTTACGTGAGTGAAGGCTGGAGTGGGAAAGAGGGGGCGATTTCAGCTCCAATAGCTGACTAGCACATCAGGGCTAAGTGCTGTTTTGCTGTGTGGGCGCCTTCGTTTGAGTTAAGCTAAGTCGGGAAGACTGCAGATAACCCGAGCTGGCACTGGGGTGAAAGCAAGCTCCAAATCTTTTAAACTCAAACAGGCCACAAAATAGAACAAAATAGAACAATGTCATTAGTTCAGCTGGAAAATAATCAGGCTTTGAGATAAACAAAATGGTCAGAACTTAGAGGTGGGTATTTGTCTGGTCCAGAAATGATGAGAGGGAAGGCTAAACCACTGTAAATGGCAGTGTATCTTAACATTTTTTTTTTTCTATTTAGAAGGAGATAGGGGTAGCCCTGAAAGAAGCCTTTGACCTTGGGAGAGCCCCTGGTGCCAGTACTGCAGTCATTCAGGTAAATGGGTGAGGAACTGAGAAGCTCGCATCACATCCTTTGGGGGAGCCAAGTTGCTACGCACCCACGTGTGGGCATTGGCAGTACCCAGTTTTGTCGGTCCTGAGCTAAGCTCAGCATGTCACGAGCTTGCAAGCTGGCACCTGCACCTGTGTGCCCTCAGACCTGTTCCTTTTCTCTTGTGCATATGTAAGGAAAACTAAACTAACCCCAAAACCACTGAGATCGAGATTAGCTGATTCCAGCTGAAGTTAGGTTCACCCTTGGGTTTCATGGAGCCCTTTGGGAAGTCTCAGCATGTTTTCAACCAGCAAATGCAGCAGCGTTGCCCTGCACCTTGCAGGTCCCCAGCATCCCACCTCCCTTGTGAGGATGTGCCTTCAGCGTCAGAGAAATGGCCATTGCGGCACAGCTCAGACCTGGACAATCCTTACAAAAATACTGCCAGCTCCGTTTTCTTGGGCTGACACTTAAAGATCAGTTGGAAAGCGAACAAGACACCCTGGAAACCCATTGGCTGGGGTTTCCTGATGCCTTGGGGTAGCGAGTTTTCTCCTGTCCCTTTTGGTGTGTTTTATATTTCCTATGTGCAGCAGGAAAAACCCATTCATGATGGGAGTCACCCTGTGTCTCGCTGTTGCTTTCTGGAGTGCTCAGCACTGGAGTCCATCTGGCTCCTTTCAGCCATCTGGCTCCCTGCCCCTCGCAAGCTTTTCTTTCTACTGCGCAGCTAATGGATGGCATTAAGTTGCCACCTGCTCGGACCTCTGCAATATGGGGTGGCTTTTTAGCCGTCTGATACTGCCCACCTTCCGCAGGCACCAAACGGGTCAGTGGAGGTGAGATGATGGCACTGAAATGTGCAGCAAATCTCTACAGGGTCTGGGCAGCCCTGCTGGATGTTGCTCACAGTGAGCACTGCTAGGGAGGGATTTTTCCCTGACTTCTGCACCCTGTTCGCTGCAGTGGAGGCAGCAGCAGCAACAAAGGTGCTGATGGGGCTCCTACCGGATACTTTATGTATGCGAGAACTTCCAAACCCAAAATATTGCTTTAGAAGTGAGTGGGATTTGCAGCAGGGTGGGAGGTCTTCCTGTTCACTGTGGGAAGAGAAAATGCCTTCAGCCTGTTCTGCTCTCATGTCTCGAAATGTGCAGGCGTTAGCAGAGAAGGCAGAGGCTGCCCGGCGCGTCAGCGAGAGCCTGCAGGAGCGCGTGGGAGCTGTGTGCCTGGAGGAGAGCCTGAGCTTCCTCGAGAGGTAGGAGAGACGCTGCCTCCCTCCCCGGCACGTCAGCAATGCTCGGACACAGAAATCCCTGCAAGCACTTGTGACTCTGTGTCCGCCTGGACCCCATGTTCTCCCTCTTTCCTGGCACTGCTGGTAATGCAGGGACAGCTCTTCATGGCTGTTTATGTTCTCAGCATTTGCTGTTGGAGCAAAGTTGAGGGGACAAAGTGCACCCAGACTTGTCTGGATGGTTCAACCTTGGGGGGATGTTTATTCTGGAGCTGTTCAGACCTTAAAAGCAACACAAAAGCACTGTAGCCAAGTGGCCGGTGCCAGGCCTGGCTGCTGGGATGCAGGAGAGATTGGAACCCTACTGAGTTCAGCCGGGGTTGCATCAGGCCCCGAATAAGGACTGTGGGAACGTCCCCAGAGTGAAAATACTGGCTTTTCCTACCCTATGTGCACTTCCTGGGAGCAGGGTTCTTCCAGGCTCCTCGAGAGGGCTAGGAGCTCTGGCCTGTTGTACCTCTCTGATCTATTTTGTATATATTCAAAAATATTTTTATGTATAAATGTAATATATTGTTTATTTATTTAATGATTTATTATAATTCTCAAATTCATTTTCATATCCATTGCCCCTCACATTGTAAAGAGAAGGGAATCCCTATAATACAGAATTGTCCGGGAGCCATTTGTGAGACTGAAGCAGTCCGTAGACTTCATGGGCTGTTTATGCTCACTGAGGCTTTTAGTCTTCTGCAGCCTTGTAGACAAAGTGCAGCTGCTTCCAGGAAAAAAATGTTCCTGCAGCAGCGGTACTTAAATGATTCTCCTGCTTCCTGATCCATGCAATGTAAGGGATGTCCCCATCCTGTGACTGTACTGTCCTTCCTCTCCAGTGGGGCAGGAGAGGGACTGTCTTTGCCCTAGTCTAGAAATCCTCTCTTGGAATGAAACTCTGCACAGTAAAAAGACAAATAATAATGGAATATTTCTCCCATTTGCTGCCAGGCTACTGCTGTCAGCTACATGACAAAGGGCCTTCAGAATATGTCTCCCTGTTTTAATTTAGCTATGAAAATGAAGTAAGAAGCTTTCTCCAGCTCAATGGCCGGCCGATCGCCAGCAGCCTACGAGTCCTTGAGAACTGCTGCAGACTCAGGTTAGCAGAGACCCTTGTGGCATATGGAGTGGACTGGGTTTTCTGCTGTCGGGGCTTTCTCTCTCTCTGCTGTGGGGACAGCCTTGCGTCTGGCTGGGTCTGATAGTAGGTCTCCTGGGCACATTCAGAGCCACCACGTTCACCGTGATGCAGCGGGGATGCTTTTCTGATGTTGCCAACACTGCCACGTGCCATGACGGGGCTTCCTTCCATCCTCTGATTCTCCCCCACTGGGGAATCCTCATAAATGTAGCACTGAGGTTCATGCACTTGCATGCTTCAGGGCTTTGCTGTGGGAAACCCTATCTAACATGCCAAGCTCTCCGTGGGGCTGCTAGGGAGGCAGGAAGCAATCAAGCACAGAGCTGTGGGGGAGGCTGTTGGCACCTGCCAGCCATCTACAGCAGTGCTTGCAAGGGAGAAAACAAGATTGCTTCTGTTTTTCCTGTGTAAGATTACCTGGGGATCTCTGGAGCCAGCAAAATGCCCGACTCAAGCATATGCACAGTGCTTACTTGACTCTGAAGCTCTGCTTTGGGCCTGGATAGCTGATTTGTCTTTGCTGTTAAGGTTGGACCTAGGGTGAAGAATTTATGAGCCTCTTTTATGTAATTCTATGTAATCATACTGGGAACGAAGTTGCACACTGAACTTTTCCAGAGTGAAATGTCTGATTTCAGACTGGTGAATGTGTTAGCTAGGATTTGCAGATTTGCAGACTGTTCTGCTGGAATACAACCCTTCCTCTTGTATTCACGGGGTGTCAAAGGCTCCAGACAGCTTCCATTTATCAGGAGATTGAGGCCCAGAGCTAGTCTTGCACCTGAGCATGTGTCCCTTCAAATAGCTAGGCAGTCATGCTGGCTGAAGTGGGGAATGTATTGATCTGAAAGTATAGCCTGATTTGAGCTTTTTTTTTTTTTAATTTCCGTTTCCATTTTTGTTCAGAGTTGCCTGGCATAAGATAATATGCATCTGCAGTGCCAGCACTGATCAGGATGTTAAGGTAAAAGGATTTCTAGAACATCTGGAAAATGAGATTGTAGAACAGCTTCTGCAGAAGATCACACCTAAAGTCAAGGTATGGGAGACCCGTGTTAACCCATGTTAATGCTGATTATTTTTATACTGTTGGACAGGTGTCCACTTTATTCTCATGTCCTGATTTGGAAAGGATAAAACCATAGTTTTAACTTCAAGCTCTAAATTCCCTTTTACCTTGCCTGAAGCTGCATCTTGACAGCTTCATCTTTTTCCAGTGTTTGGAATTCCAAATCCACTGTTTGCTTTTATGCTAAAAATGGGCAACCTGTGCTGCCCCTGGGAAGCCAGGTCCCAAAGGCTGAACATTAGTGGTGCCTGCTCCTGCCCAACGGCTGGGCATCTTCTCTGGGGTGGTGATAACTCACAGAGACTAAGGCTGTGGTGAGTAGTCAGGATTCAGAGAAGGTAGACCAGGAATTTATCCTTCTCGTGGAATAAATTCCTTTCCCTTTACACTTTCTAATGTCAAATGTTTAGCCCAGATGCCTATCTTTATTTCCTGGCCTCCCTATCTAGATCACAAAGAATTGCAGGTGTCTAATAGTGTATGATGTTGTATGTTCTCTTGGGGAGCTCCCCAGAGCATTCCCAGAGCATCATCATTGCATGGGTTTACTCAAACATGCTGAAGTCAGAGGAGGAAAAATGACTAAAGGAACACTGGCAATACCATTCTTTGAATAAAGGCACAGGATGCTGCAGCTTGTTAAAGAGTCTCTGAAAGCCAAAAAAAAAAAAAAGTAAATGCACTGTAATCCATGTCTGCAACATGTGTGAGATCTCCAGATATTCATCATTTGATTCTGTCTGTCCCTTTTCTCAGAGAATACTGAAGGATCACTTCAAAAAAGGTGACATCAAAAAACGTGACAGTGGTTTAGGCCACATCCTAGAATCATTAAAGCAAAGCTTTTTGGCATTTGAAGGGAAAAATACAGCCATATATGAGGTAAGAAATAAGTAAGAAGATAAGAATCACAGAATCACAAAAGGGTTGGAGAGACCTCCAGAGACCATCTCATCCAAGTCCTCTGCTCAAGCAGGGCCACCTAGAGCATCTAGACACCTCTTGAATAACTCCAAGGATAGAGACTCCACTTCTGCTTATTGAATTTCATGAGGTTCTCCTCTGCCCATCTCTGCAGCCTGTCCACGTCCCTTTGAAGGTCAGCACAGCCCTGTAGTGCTCCCAGTTTCGTATCAACAGCAAACTTGCTGAGGGTGCACTCTGCCCCTCCATCCAGGTCACTGATGAATAAATTGAACAGTATTGGCCCCAGTATTGACCCTTGGGAGACACCACTAGCTACAGGCCTGCAACTAGACTTTGCGCCAATGATCACCACCCTCTGAGCTCTGTCATTCAGCCACTTCCCAATCTACCTCACTGTCCACTCATCTACCCTGCATTTCCTGAGCTTGCCTCAGCTATGAGCCAATATGAGGATGTTATGGGAAGCAGTGTTGACAGCTTTACTGAAACAAGGTGTTATTCAGGAAATCACTAAAGCAAGTCTTTGAATCTCTGGATTACACTGAATTTTAATATTAATTCAAACTACCATTTTGTCTATCACTGAAATGGCTTTAAAGGTCTAATCATTGATGCCAAGTTCCACAGAGCTGAATATCTACCTCACTGGCTAGGATCTTTGCTGTAATGTCAGCAGAGAAACCAAGAAATGAAGGAATAAGGAAACTGAATGGGTTTCCCAAATACAGAGGGAGAACACAGGGCTATCCGTGATACTGCCCTGCCCGCAATACCCTCATACTGGGAATTCTGTCTGCTTCTAATATGCTTCAGTCTCATGTTGGATGTGTTGTTGTTACCTGTGCTATACATGTCCCACTAAGTACTGGGCTTGCTTTCTCTTAGCCTCACAGGTCTGCAAGGACTTTGTCAGTGCTGTTTTTAATTAACATTTAATTAACATGAGGAAATCTGGAAAAAGTAATGGAACGGAAAAAAATAGGAGCTATTCTGCTGCTGTTCAGAACCTGTCACTGGACATCATGTCACATTAGTGCTGGAGCAAGCAGAAACTCAGTGGCAGAGTGCTACGCCAGAACTGTCTGTCTCGTGCTTTGTCTGTTTTGGACAGGGCTGGGGATTTCCTGTACCTTTGGACTGCAGCCTAAAACTGGTCTGATTTCAAATACTAATGAAAATGTGTTTTCTGTGCAGTGGCCCATCTTCCCTCAGGGAGGCTGGTTCCTCCTCTCCCTCCCCATCAGGCACTTCATGGTCTCAGCACTGGGGTCCCTCAGTAGGTTGTGGAGTCTCAGAAATGCCCAGGCGACTCTCTCTCAGCCCAGTCACAACCATGCGGCCAAGGGTGCAGCCCTGGGACGTGCTAGACAGCATGTCTTGGGTGGGCTGGATTTTGCTTTGTCTGTAGTCCAAGATATCCCAAAGCCATGTGGATGTTAATCTGGGGCTAAGCCAAGTCTTACTTTGCTGCTCAGGAGAGCGTGATCTATGCCAAAGTTACCTGGTGCTGTTGCCTTGTTGGATGTGTCCAGTCTTATTATCAATGTCCAAGTCATCCCCATACAGCTTGGAGGTACTCCATGTGTTAGACAAGGCATTTTAATGGGATGGAGAAGGAGGACACCCTACCTATGCTGGCCAGAGTCCTAGGCCAGGCCTGATCCTTTTAGCATGGAAAGTAATTTGGTCTTTTTTTCTCTGAAACAGGTTCTTGTCAAGAATGTCCATGACATCATTATTAAAGAATATGCGCAGGCTCTTCTGACTATTTCCAGGAAACCATCTTCTGAGCAGAGGAGGAGGATTGTCAGCAGGATAGAAGAAGATCATAGGATGCTGCAAACCATGATTACACAGTGTTTAGTAAGTCTTTGATGTGGTTATGCCTATACTCTCCATCATTAAGAGCAGTATCAAAAGAGTAAAAGGCTCTGAAAACAATAGACTTAAGAGGTCATGCCACAGTAGTATCCAGCTTCACAGAAATGAAAATCCGATGTGCTGGAAGACAGGCCTTCAAATCTGCCAGAAACTGTTAGTTTATATTTTTGAAATGTGGGAATGGAGGAGGCAAGATTCACACTCCTGCAACTGAAATAAGAAGAGGCACTCTCTTCTAAGCTAGAAAGACAGCTTTAAAGCTGTCAACTTCTCGAGAAGAGCCTTCTGTACCTTGGTGTGACAGAGAGGAAGAGGAAAGGCCATACCAGGAGCTGATATATTGCCCCAGCATTTTCCCTGGAACCTCAGTTTAATTCTTGGCTACATGACCCCTTCCAGGGCTATGAACCGGATCAGCCCCTCCAACTGGCCCCTGTTTTCCCCACAGGCCCTTCCTAGTCTGCAGGCTGGTGGCTGCCACCACCCATCCCCTTGGAGAGCTGGGCTGGGCCGTGTGAGTCAGAGCCATTTCCGTGCATTATAGTGGTTGCCAGGAGGGTGGAAGCACATTGATGCTGTTGTGGTTGGTCACGCTTGAGTGAAAGAGTGAGTCTTCATAAGGAGGTAAACACCTCACGCGGTTATGGGATAGACTGAAAGGAGAACCACACCATTGAAGAAAACTTGGGTAAAAATGCTAGACCTGATTTGCAGAAGCAATGTTGGAAGCTTAGAAAAGCCTCTTTACTTAATTCATAATCCCATGTAATTGGCGATTACACAAATGGTGTCTGTAGATGGCACTGCACTGTTGCACGGTTTCCTTCGTTATCCAAGGGCAAGGACTGCCACGTGAACAGCCCATCCTGTGGCTGCTCCAGCATGAGATTTAACTGCCACACAACGGGCCCTGTCACAGCTGCTTTGGCAAACGTGGGCTGTGGGTGCCCCGTAAACAAGTTGTCTTGGGCATTGCAGTAGTGATTGAAAATATTATATGAACCCTGAGACAGGATGCTCGCATATGACACAGCTAGAAACCCTAGCTTTATGGCTTTTAATAATTTCACAGATTTGAGTCATTCTCATGAATGCACATCTTGTGCGTTTAAGTGCTTTCTATTAGCAATCTATTTTCTCCCAAGAGAGACCTCCTATAAGTTAGTTGTCCGTAATTCTGACTGCCCAAAGAATAATATGAGGTAAAAATAACCACTCATAGGCTCCTCCTAAAAACTCTTGTACCTCACAACTCACTCACTGCTTTCATGGTGGAAAGATGGAAGTTCCCAGTGCTTTTAGGTGAAGGCTCACCTTTCTTAGGGTAATCAATCACAGACAACTCGATGCTTTGAGAAATCAAGCCATCAGGAGTAGTGGGAGGAGTCTCTAATTTTTAAATTTTAAGCTTACTAGTAATGCTGTGCTTACTATCACCTTTGGATGAAAAGTGCAAAGAAAGTCAATTTTATAGTGTGAATGAAATATAGGAAATCTTATTAAACTCTACGTGATACTTCGGTGAAAACGTCTGCATCTAATCAGTCCCGTTCCCCTTCCCTGCTCTCTTCTCATTCTTACTTGATGTGTAAGCACTAAAAACCTTGAGGAGAGAATGCATAAGCAATTTGCAGGGGACAGCCTCAAGTGAGGTACATGGTTATGCATGCAAAATATGTACTCTGCTGCAGACTGAATTTATTGTGCAGTTGGTGCATAGGCTGCACCTGCTCCCTGCCCTGGTCTATCCTCTGTCCAGCCTCTCTTCCTGTCACTGTATTCTCAAAATGCATGTGGAAACACCTTGCTTCTCTCTCAAAAGCAGTAAAATGTCAAAGGCAGCTAAGCACAGCTGACAAAACAACTCTTGTTTGTTCCTTCAGATTGCAGACCATTTACCTTAGACCTTTCCTGACTATATAGTGCTTAACAAAATCTGGCACCTTCTAGTTAATTAACATTTACTTTGTGAGCTTGCCAAGTATGAAGTCTTACAGTATTAATGCGCTGGGAGCAGAGTACAGCTTGCTCAGTGTGCAGAGCTAGACACTGCCTGCAGTGCGGAGGAAGAGAGAGAAGGCTGTCTTCAAGTATTACTATTATTTTTAATTTATGTTCAATGCGGAGATGAGCTGAAGCGAGAAGCCAACCTGCTGTTTCTAACGCCCTGTGGAGATCAGGGGAACCTGGGCTTCTCCTGACCTAGTTTGACAGCCTGTTCTCCAGGTTTGCTTCGTCACAGGATCTCTCTTGACATGATGGCATCAATAATTCAGACTAGCAATTTAACTGCATCATCACACCAGCCAAAATGTGAGCAAGATCTGAAGCTCTCACTTGGCAGTTCATCCACACTCTTCTTTCCTGAGCTTTTTAAAAAAAACCCTGCATATTTCTTGCTAGCTTTGTGAAGTTTTATCCTGTGATGTGCTTTAGTTAGAGGGAACTGTTCATATGCAGCATCTACCAGCTATACTCATGTCCTCGCAGGGTCCAGTCCTGCTTCTTCTTGTTATTCAGCTACAGGATATGTGTCCCTTCACCCTCTCCTGCAGGTCACTCGTCTGTCCCTGGGCTGCTCCATGGCTGCAGGAACGCTGCCAGCCAGCATGGCTTGGTTTCACAGAGGCACAGGGGCTGTTGCTTGTGTGGGAAAGGAAATCACTTCCCAAAAATCAAAATGGCTTTTCAGAGGAGAGAGATGTTGGGGAAGGCCCGTCTCACTAAAGAAAAACCAGGAAGGGATTCTGAACTGTGGTTACACTCCAATTTCTTTCCTCTTACCTTGCAGGGAAAGCATGCTCCTATGCACGCTCATACAGTGCTGCACAGCTCCCACCATGCACAGTAAACGTCTCATCTCTTAACATTATATTCTGCTTCCTTTGCCCTGAATGCATCTTTTCTTCTATTCCCAGAGTCCTAAAGCAGATTCTCTCAATGATCCAATAAAAGCAGTCTTGGAGTTTATTCAAACTACTGATTCCGAGGGAATGAAAATAGCCCTAATGCCCATTCTCAGAGAATTTCCTAATCTAAGGTAAGAAGTTTTGTTCTTTTGGCTTATGTAGTTTCTTACGCAAATATTTGCCATCAGAACGCCCAAGGCAATATTAGTCCCATGATATTTTCTCTTTGCGCTGTGATGGCCCAGGCTGACACAAGAACAGTGCTTATGGTTAATGTGCATGGCTTATAGCTTTGCCAGTCAGTAACCAGTGGAGTTGGCACGTCCCATTCACAAAAGTGGAGGATGGAGGGGATGTCTCTCAAGAAAGTAGGAATGCTGTGGAAAAATACTACTTGAATGGACAATTTCATAGAATCATAGAATGCTTAAGGTTGGAAGGGACCTCTAGAGATCATCTAGTCCAACCCCCCTGCACACGCAGGGTCACCTAGAGCACGTGGCACAGGGCTGCGTCCAAGCAGGTTTGGAAGATCTCCAGAGAAGGAGACTCCACAACCTCTCTGGGCAGTCTTGCAGCACAGAGGTGGGCTACCCTAGGCCTTTCAAGAGCTTCCTCAGTCTGAGCATTTCTTAGCTTGCAAGCGCGTGGCTCTTAGTTTTAATACTTCACCAATGCTTCAAAGTAGCTCTTCCAGGTACAACTATTTGCGAATAATCCCAGGTGTATTCAGGAAGACATATGCACTGCTATTTCTCACAGGAAGCTGATAAAATGAATGAAAGTCAAGTTTAATTTAGGAAGATGATGTTTTAGCTAGCTGCATTTGTTTCAGAACCTACTGTTTATTACTGCCATCTTTTGCCCTGAAGCCTTTTGCTAGTGACTGTATGTTTTCAAGTTAACACGATTACACTGTAGGGCTCTCTGTCACAGGATGCTGTGACAGGCCAGAAAGTGTGAATAGCTTCAAATGGGGACCAGATAATGTGGTAGATATTTGTCTTAGTGGCTATTCAATGTGACAGTTCCAGCTAAGGAAGACACTAAACTGCAGACTGCCAGAAGCCAAAAAAAAAAAAAGCACAAGACAAAGAAAGATCATGTTATGCTTGCCCTGGTTCTTCTATGCTTTCCCTAAACTTTCTGTACTTTTGAAGACACAGCACTGAACTAAAAAGATGTTTATCTGATACAGCATAGCAGCTCCTGTGCTATTACTTTATATATGTATGCACATAAGAAATACTCAGGAAAATGTTGTTTGGAAGTAGGAGGAGGTCTGAGGAGGTCATCCTGGTTTGAGTGGATGCATTGTTTTTGATTTCAATGGATTCCCAAATGCTTAAAGCTATGTTTGGCTTGGATGCATTTGCTCTCTTTGTTAAACAGACTAATAAGCTGTGGCCCCACTCAGCAAAGCAATGCTATGTAGAGCAGAAAGACTGTAATATTCCAGATAACCAAGAAGTAACTTCATCTGAGGGTGGAAAAGATATCAAAAATGCTTTTGAACAATTTAATCACCCCCAAATCACACCTAAAAAACAGCATGACAGATGCGAATCTTTTTCTAGAAGAGGAAGTTTTCGGTGGCTTTGCTGGGATGCTGTATGCACTGGGACCCTTTAACTTGGTTATAGCACACACTGTAAACACAGCTCTTGGATGTGGCCTCCTCATTGTTAGGTGTCCAAAGGGTGTTGAAAAACAGTTTGACAGCTTCCAGGCTTTGGTTTGACCCAGCCAAACTGTCCTAGAAAGTAAGCTTTTTCCTTCAACTTTTCTACTGATCTGCCATCTGATCCTTTTGGAAAGGAGAGAACATCTGAGGGTCATGCTGGACCTCAAAGACTTTCTCAGCCGAGAAGACAGAACTGCTCTTGTGAACACATTTAATGATAATTATGAGGAAACAAGAAGTAACTCGCCTTCTGAAGATACAGAGGTTAAGCCTGGGAAGTGCAGACTCTGTTGCTGCTGCTGTTAGCAAAGGTAGGTATGTGAGTGCATGTGCCTGCATGTAACATGTGTATGTGCCCAGACACTACATTCCTAGGGAGCTGGGGTGACGTGCCAGCAACA